TTCACATGTTTCCACTTACAGAGAGGTCAGACTCTGAAAGACCACCCAGGCAATCTGGGGACTCTAAGGAGCGGCCCGCTGTTGGGGATGGGAAGGACAGACACACTTCTGTGTGTCTCGGGCGAGTCTTTGTCACGTCTCTAAAGTCCACAGCAGTGAGACTTGCCATCCAAAACATTACTCATGTCTTCTGTAGAACCCAGCCTGGGTCTGGACCTTGGGATCAGTTATACCTGCTTCCTTACAGACGCCCAATGCCAGTGGCATCTGAGGTTGGGCATGGTGGCTCACACCTGCAACCCCAGCCCTCTGAAGGCTCAAGGCTACCCTGAGTGCCCGTCAGGGCTACACGGCCAGACCCTGTGCTGCAACAACAGTACCAGGACCAACAAGGAGACTCAGCAGGAGAAGGCTTGCCACCAAACCTGATGACCTGAATTCAATCTCCAGGACCCGCCTGATGGACGCAGAGTACTGACTTCTGCCCTTTGACCTTTGACCTCTGACCTCCACATGTGCACCCTTACACATGTACCCGTACACCTATACGTATAAGTAAATAAACATCATGAAAAGAATTTAATGAACAAATAGTCACCGAGCTATCCAGTCTGATAGCCAGCTCAGGCTATGATGTCCTCTCCTCACACGCGATAGTCACCGTCCACAGCATCAAATGCGAATAATTCAATCCTTCCAGTAAACTCCACTTCATAAATGAGGAAACCGGGGGGGGGGGGGGGGCGCACGCCCCGGCCCTTTCTTTCCACGGAAAAACAATCTAAAAATGACAGGACTTGGAGGTGGTGTGGCTAAGATTTGAGCCCAGGCTGGCTGATTTGGGGGGCCTGCCCTGGACTTAAAGGCAATGCTGCTGCTCAAGGGTAAATGACAACCTAGAAAGAGAAATGGGCAGACAAGATGGCTCCGTTGGTAAAGGAGGCTGTGACACAAACTGACAGTGTGAACTCCATCCCTGGAACACAGAGAAAGGCAGAAGGAGAGAACCAGCTCCATGCGGTTATCCTCTGACTCCTGCATGCGGGCCGTAGCACGTGTGTGCCCCCACCCACACCTTACACACACAATAATAATAATAATGTAATAATAATAATAATAATAATAATAATAATAACCTTTTTTAAGAAAGAAAGAGAGAGCAATTGTCTTTTCATTTTAATCTTTCTGGTAACCAGTTATGTGGCTTCAGGTCCTGGTCTTTTGGAGAGGCAGGAGGATCAAGAGAATGCCTAGTGTAGTCGTAAGAGCCTCTCCACAAAAGGCATCGGACTGTGCACATTGATACATGAGGAATAAAAGCAGCGAGAGATTCTCTACTGACCAATAAAGAAGCTACCAGCTGGGCGTGGTGGTGCACGTCTGTGATCCCCGAGCCTGAGAGGTAGGAACTGGAAGATCAGGAGTTCAAAGTCATCCTGAGCTACAGAGAGAGTTGGGGGCCATCCTGGGCTACATAAGCCTACGTCTCAAAGGCTGGAGAGTTGGCTCGGTAGTTAAGATTGCTTACTGCTCTTGCAGAGGACCTGACTTTGGTCCCAGCATCCAGATCAGCAGTTCACAACCACCTCTAACTCTGCCTCCAAGGAGACTGGACATCCTCCTGGCCTCCGAGGCCCTGTGCTGCACACTCTGCGTGCTGGGAACCGAACTTACGTTCTCGACAAGAGCAGCAAATGCTCTTAACCACAGATCCATTGCTCTGCCTCCCCCCCAAAAAAAGATGCCTCAATAGAAACCAGCATTTAGAAGGACACACAACCTGGCATGTTTATACAGCTCGTATCAGGGACGGTGGCACCGTCCATGTAACCTTTGACATACTATATAGGTCAGTTCACCTGTTTGTCAATGACACTGTGAAAGCCCTGAGAGCCGAGGCTTAAAAGGTTCCCATTCTCAAGTCTGGCCCAGTGCCAGAAGCCATAATCAATAACAACCAGTACTCAGGACGGCAGGAATTCAACAGTGTTCCAGTCTTCTGGGGGACCTTTCTTTTTTTTTTTTTTTTTAAGCTATTTTGCACTTCCGACTCATTTCTAAATTATTTCCTTGGCAGCCAGAGGAGCTTTGCTGACATTTCCTGAGCTTCTCTGAGCAAGCTGAAGAACGCGTGCGGTCGCCATGGTTTTTCACCTGACTGTAATGGGGCTTAATATTGTTTTGAGAAGTTTATCTGTATCTGCCCTACTTGCATTTCCTGAGCTAACAGAAAGGCCCTCCGTGAAGTCTCAGCTCTTGAAGTTACTTTGGCAAACATCTGCGCTAAGAAAACGGTCCAGATGGCTTCTGACACGGAGGGATAAAAAATAAGGGATCTTTTCCACACGCTGTGTGGTGTTTGCTGTGGTTTCTGCAAAGAGATGAGGCTTTTACAGGACCAAAAAAAAAAAATCACTCAATCCCACGGCCACCCAAGGCCCATGGAAACACATGTGGCTCGTGTGTTTAAATGCAGATCACTCTTTGTAGGTTCAAAGGGGTCCTGGTGCTAGGAGTACCACTGGGGTGCTGACCTCTGACCTTTTCTGGATGCTGTCATCCTGTGTTTTATACATCCTATCTGATTTAATCTTCTCAACAAGCCTACATTGTGGGTACTATCATTATTCTTATATTCCACATGAAGAAATAATTCAAGGGCTCGGCAATGTGACTGGTAGAGTTCAGGTAGAGTGCTGAACATGCGTGATGCCCTGGGTGTGGTCTTGTGATTCCAGAGCTCAGGAGGCAGAGGCAGGAGGAGCAGAAGTTCAAGATCATCCTAGCTACATAGGGAGTTCGAGGCCAGCCTGAGATATACAAGACCCTGGTGAGAGAAGGGGAGAACAGGGAGAGGAAAATGAGAGAAGGGCCAAAATCATTAACTCTCTCTCTCTCTCTCTCTCTCTCTCTCTCTCTCTCTCTCTCTCCCTCCCTCCCTCTCTCTGTCTCTCTCTCTGTCTCTCTGTGTGTGTGTGTGTGTGTGTGTGTGTGTGTGTGTGTGTTTTCAAGACAGAATTTCGCTGTAGCTTTTGGAGCCTGTCCTGGAACTCACTCAGTAAACCTGGCTGGCCTCAGACCCACAGAGATCTGCCTGCCTCGGCCTCCCAAAGAGCTGGATTTAAAAGGCTTGTGTTTCTTACATCTGCACTCTCTACTGCAATGGTTTGCTGGTGTCCACTACCGCATTGCATTCCCAGCCTCTACTGCCCAGGCCCCCTTCACCTGCAGAGCTGCAGAAAGGGACCGACAGTCTGCTGCCACGTACCTCAATTCCGTGGTGTGTTTGCCACCTGCCTTCTGAGTTCCCAGGTATTGTAACAACATAGAAAACTTCTACAGGCGTGACAAGAATGCCTCCCTTAGCCTGTGTCCTTTGTCCCTATCCTGTGTAACCTTCATGGTAGCTTGATGGGATTTAGAGACACCTAAGAGATACACGAACAGATATTGTCTGGGAGAGTTTCCAGAGTTTAGCCGAGGGAGGAAGACCCACGCTGAGTATGTGCAGAACCACAGGCTGGATCTAGGGCAGAATAGAAATGGAAAAGGGAAAGGGAAAGGAGTGAACACCAGCAGCCCCCCTCTCCCCTAAGGTCCTTTAGCCACATCCTCTCCACCACAAGGGGCTGTAACCCTTAAACTGTGACCAAAAGAACCCTTTCCTTCCCCACACTGGTTTATTTTGTTTGTTTTTCTTTTCATGTCCCGAACAGAAAAGCTATCCCAATAATCGTTATCCCAACATCTCACAGAATGTCTCCTGAAGCATCGTCATCTCTGCTTCTCACCTCTCTCTGCCTGGGCTAGTCCAGAAGACAACACTAAGATTCTCTGGGTTTCCCTCCGCAAGGGGCTGAGATTTGCAACATTCCTTTGGTCGATACCTACTAGCAACCAGATGTCTGCAAACTGAACCAGGGTAAGCAGGCTCCAACATACCAGAGAAATCATACTCAGATGCTGGGATGCTGTGTTTATCAAAATCCTTTCCACGAAGGGTGTGCCGTGTGGTCGGGAGATAATAAGGCCGTCGGAGACTGTAAGCAAAGTTGTATGGGGTGTGTAAAGGTAACCAGCGGAGATTGCTAAGGATTCTAAGTCTTAATGAAGCTTGTATATGCTTAGATGGGGAGTGGTCAAGGTTGGGGCTAGAGAAGAAGTACCCAAAATTGAAGAGACCTGTCTGGGCTGGCTCTGCCTCTCCCACAGCATGTTTAGACTTTCTCCTACTGAAGAAGCACAGACAAGTCCTTACAGAGAACACCGTTCACACTGCCCCTGAGCTTCTAACACAAGGCACAGCCTGGCGCTGCCTCCCATACAACTGTCTCAAGAAAAAAATCCAGGAGATACCAGTTAAACAGGGGGTGAAAAGGGAGCCCCAGAAGTGAATAAAGAGAGCCCGGAGAGAAGGGGAAGTCACTAGAGATAGTACAACCGGAAAGAGCCCAAGTTTAAAAAAAAAAAAGAGGTCTGGACCAAGTAGGCCCATGAATGACACCTGTAATCCCAACAGTAGGAGAGTGGGGAGTTGAAAGCCGTTCAGCATCGAATGGCCAGACTGGACTACAAGAGGCTGATAAGAGCCAATGTCCACCACCAGGTTTTATACAGTGGGTAAAGCTATCAGCTGCGGGGCCTGAAAAATTGAATTCTATCCCTAGGACCCACATGATGGAAAAGAACTGATTCCCAGTTCCTGCAGGTTGTCCTCTGTCTACACACGCACACACACACATACACACATACACACACACACACACACACACACACACAATAAATGTAATAAAAATCATTTCTTTTTTTTAATTTATTATTTATTTTTTATGTATACAATATTTTGTCTGTGTATATGCATGTATGCCAGAAGAGGGCACCAGACCCCATTACAGATGGTTGTGAGCCACCATGTGGTTGCTGGGAATTGAACTCAGGACCTTTGGAAGAGCAGGCAATGCTCTTAACTTCTGAGCCATCTCTCCAGCCCCCAATAAAAATCATTTCTAAATTGAGTTTTACTGTTTCAAATGATTGGGGCAGAAATTAAAACAGGAAGATTGATGTTGTGACCCCATACACCATAGGTGTCTCTGCATCCACAGATGAGATTCTGGTGAAACCACAGGTGTCCCAGCACCCACAGATGAGATTCTGGTGAAACCACAGGCGTCCCAGCACCCACAGATGAGGTTCTGGTGAAACCACAGGCATCTCTGCATCCACAGCTGAGGTTCTGGTGAAACCATAGGCATCTCAGCATCCACAGATGAGATTCTGGTGAAACCACAGGCATCTCAGCATCCACAGATGAGGTTCTGGTGAAATCACAGGCGTCTCAGCATCCACAGAGGAGGTTCTGGTGAGTTACAGTTGTCTTTTCACCTCACGGCTGCCCATGAGTATCTCTACACCTCCAAGACAGACCCAAGTAGCCATGATGGACACACAGACCAAATCCTGAGAGTTGTTTTCCCATCCTTTACCAAAAATCTTAGTCAAGAGTTGGTCTGAAGCAGCCTACTCTCTCAAACATCAGACAGTGATGAATTTGTTTGACCAGCTCATGGAAGAACACAAAAAGCAAGTCGAAAGCAACACCTCGCCACCACACTCCGGGGCAGGTCTCATATCCGGGAGTAGCTGGCCAGACGCGAGGGTTTTTTGTGCTTGTTTGCCTTGTAAAAGAGAGTAAGAGCATGAAGCTAGATGAGTGAGGAGTTGAGGGAAGTTCTGGAAGATATTGGGGGAGGGGGAAAATACGACCAAAATAAATTTTATAAACTTCTCAGTCAGTAAATTAAAACATAAAAAAAGTATAACTTTCCTCAATAAAACTAAAGTAGACTCAGGTAGAGTGGAGCATACTTTTAATCCCAGCACTCAGAAAATGAAGCATTAATCTAATTCATCTTAATCAATAAAAACCAGGAATCAGATATCTATCGGATTAAAGACTGGAAGATCAGAGAACTGGGAGCAGTCGTCAGTAGCTTCCTACCTCCCCCTAAAAGACTCATTTCCTTCTCCACACCATCTTACCACTTCCTGTCGTCAGCTCCCAAGTGCTGGGATCAAAGGCTGCGTGTGCCACCACTGCCCAGCTTCTACGGTTAACAAGCAGCTAGCTCTGCCCTCTGGTCTCCAGGCAAGCTTTATTTGTCGGAACACAAACAAGATATCATACAGCAAGAAGACAGACAGGTGGATCTCTGTGAGTTCTGGGTTACATAGTTAGATATTAGATAAATGATAGATAGATAGATAGATAGATAGATAGATAGATAGATAGATAGAT